GCAGCCCCGCAGCCCCGCACGCAGGCAACATCGCAACATCGCACCCCCGCAGCCCCACAGCCCCACACGCGGGCAACATCGCAACATCACAGCCCCGCAGCCCCGCAGCCCTGCAGCCCCGCACGCAGGCAACATCGTAACATCGCAGCCCCGCAGCCCCACACGCGGGCAACATCGCAACATCGCAGCCCTGCAGCCCCACACGCGGGCAACATCGCAACATCGCAGCCCTGCAGCCCCGCAGCCCCGCACGCAGGCAACATCGCAACATCGCAGCCCCGCAGCCCCACACGCGGGCAACATCGCAACATCGCAGCCCCGCAGCCCCGCAGCCCCGCACGCAGGCAACATCGCAACAGCGCCGCGGCCCGCACGGCTTTACCACTGGGCAACATCGCCAATATCGCAGCCCTGCAGCCCACCGCATGAGCAACATCGCGGCGCCAGCAGCCCACCTGCAGCTTCCACCGCAGCCCGCACGCAGGCAACATCGCAACATCGCAGCCCCGCGGCCCTTGCGCGGAGCAACATCATAACATCGCAGCCCCGCAGCCCCTGCCTTGCCCGGGCAACATCACTTCAACATCGCGGCCTACAGCCCGCAGCCCGCACGCAGGCAACATCGCAACATCGCACCCCACATGACCCACAGCCCCACACGCGGCAACATCGCATCACAGCCCCGCAGCCCCGCAGCCCTGCAGCCCTTGCACTTGAGCAACATCGTAACATGTCGCAGCCCCGCAGCCCCACCACCGCGGGCAACATCGCAACATCGCAGCCCTGCAGCCCACACTTGTGGGCAACATCGCCCAACATACGCAGCCCTGCAGCCCATGGCCCCACTTGCGCAGGCAACATCGCAACATCGCAGCCCACAGCTTCACAGAACACCTCCTGCTCTGCCCTGCTTGTACCTGAAACCTCTCCTGCTCCTCGCCTTCTATACAAACTGCTACTCCTGCTGCACTCCATAGCCATAACTTCATGGCCCTTGCGCAGGCAGCATCGCAACATCGCAGCCCCGCAGCCCATGCCGCGGAGCAACATCCACCCAACACCGCAGCCCCGCAGCCCCGCAGCCCCGCAGCCCCGCACGCCCAGGCAACATGTAACACACCGCAGCCCCGCAGCCCCGCAGCCCCACATCACGGGCAACATGTAACATCGCAGCCCATGGCCCCACAGCCTCACATGCGGGCAACATCGGCAACATCACAGTCCCGCGGCCCGCGGCCCCCACCCCGTGGGCAACATCACAACACCACAGCCCGCAGCCGCAGCCCTTGCGCGGGCAACATCGCTACATCGCAGCCCCGCAGCCCACACGCGGGCAACATCGCAGCATCGCAGCCCCGCAGCCCCACACACCGGGCAACATGTAGCTGCCAGCCCCGCAGCCTGCAGCCCCGCCGCCTTGAGCAACATATGTATCGCAGCCCGCCCAGCCCCCTGCAGCGGAGCAGCCATCACCCCAACATCGCAGCCCAGCCCCGCATGACTTTTTATAGAAAAATAGGAACTTGTTGAAAATTTAATGAAAAGTAAATTTTAAAAATAAAAAGATAACTCTAATTTTTTTAAAAGTGTTTTGCAATACATTTTTACCACACCTAAGTCAGCAGTGCACCCTCCATGTCCCCGGCTGTCTGGGAAGCCCCTGCCTCACAGGCGTCGTGAGGGCGTGAGTAGAGCACTCGCCAGGCTGGAGCACGCAAGGCCACACAAGTGGCCCTTTATGTGCTCCAAGTAACTCTCAAAAGCTGGACGGCACAGAACAAAGAAATGAAGGCAAATACACATATAGTGTAACTTTTCTAGCAGCCACATTGAAAAGGCAAGAAGAAACTACCAAAATGAATTCTAATAGTATAATTTACTTAATATACCCAAAATGTTATCATTTCAGCAAAGTAATCAAAATAAATATCCAGAGATATTTTGTTATTATTATTGCCAGTCTGTAAATGCCACATATATGCATATGGTATCCTGTAGCCAGATAGCCATTCTAAGGCCCCGTGTGGCTGGCTCCGTGCCGGGCAGCATGGGCAGGACAGCCTGACCCAGGCCCTCGAGGTATTAGCACACACACATATTTCAGATGTCTGCTGTGCTCCCAGGGACAGGAGATGCCCTGGGGCGTTCTCCACATCAGCTGTTTCTCTCTAGCTGTAGGAAGCCCTGGAGGCTTGCTGGGACCAAAGTCCCAGCTTAAACATTAACCACAGTGCCTGCCCCACCTCCACTACAGCAGCACTCCAGCACCAATCTGACTTAGCAAAATGTGAAGACCAGCCAGCACTGGCCTAGCACTGCGGCTGACACTTCCACCGGTATCCTCATAGTAATAAGTTCTTCTCTGCCTGAAGCAAGTCCAGACAAACCACAAAGAGGCAAGGTGGCTCTCCACACACAGATTACCAAGTGTCTGCCCCCAGCTATGGTGACCACCATTCTCTCCTTTACTGCAGGCAAAGGTGCTGCTCCCCTGTCACCCTCCATGGGACCCCCACTCAAACTGTTCTCCTGGCCACTTTTGGGCTCACAGCTCTCACCAGCATGGACCTGTTATTAAACAAATGACCAGGCAGCTTCCACAGAGGGAGGCCTCAATTTGCGTCCCTCAGGACCGGAAGGCCGACCAGGTGCCAGGCCGAGGCACTGCCCACTGATGGACAGAAAGGAGGCTCCACTGGCAGATGCTTCACAGGCAGGCCAGGTGTGGCAGCAACTGGCCAGCAGCCCTCAAGGCTCCCTCTTCAATGAACAAGGCTCGCAAGCCCCTCCACTGAAGCTCAGCACGTTTGGGACCAGGCCAGCCTCACCCTCCCACAGAACCAGCCAGCACACCAAGAGCATCCAGAAGATGAAGCACCTAGCTAGACTCGGGTCCTTGTGGACCACTCCTTTCCAGCCTCCCAGGACACCTAACACCTCTACCTCATCAGATCCACATTCTAAAAACTACCCCGCTCCAACTTAGCCCGGCCAACAAGGGCGTCTGGAGACAACAGCCCCAGCACAAGCTCAGGCTCTAAGTCAACAGCCCACTGCTTCCCTCTGGCCTGTTCAAAGCTTCTGGCTGTGTTTCTCACGAAGTTATGCAGTGAAAAGAAAGGAGGGACAGGCTCTCCCAAAACCAAGGAGACACAGGCTGCTCACTATGACTTTACAGACCCCAAGTCTCACAGGCCCCATCCTTCCAAAGTCCTTCTGGGAGGTC